CGGATAAAAATAAACTAAATAAATAATTAAATGGATAAAATAATATTGACCAAGCGAAAATATTCGAACTAGTAAATGAAGTAAATAAATGGATAAATTTATATATACGGAAAAAAAGAAAAGAAAAAAGGAAAAGTTTTTTTTTTTAAACACAAAAGGATTTTAACGTGTAACTAACTATATTTGTTTGAATAAGAAACATTGTTTTAATTAATTACACGGTGAGAATCTTGAAATGACGTATAATTACATTCTGATGAAGGTTTTTCTTTTCTTAAAGGTAACAACTATAAGTAAAAAGGTTGTAGTTTGTTTGAATTTTTCTTTTCATCATTTCTAAAGTTTTTCCCTTTTGGATAATTATTAACAAAAAGTTTTTTTAGTCTTAGTCTTAGTCGTTGTAGTATTTAATAGGTACAACAGGTTTACAATTCGTTTAAATCATAACAACAACAAAAAAAAATTTAACGAAAACGAAAAAACCAGGATAACTTTAATATTTTAATTTTTTTTTTACAAAAAAAAAAGTTTTTAATAATAATAATAATAATAATAATAATAATAATAATAATAATAATAATAATAATAATAATAATAATAATAATAATAATAATAATAATAATAATAATAATAATAGAAACAATAAGAGAGAGAAGAAAAAAAATTAAATTAATAGAAAAATAAATGATTAAATCTTAATTGAATTTTTTTCTTTCTTTTTTTTTTTGAATTAGATTAAAGTGCCAAAAACAAACTTTTTTACTTTTTTTTTTTATTCATTTTTATTTTTTTTCTCTTTTCTTGTTAAAAAAAAAAAAAAAAAGGAGAAAAAAGTCAGAAAGTCGAGGATGAAAATTTTTTTTTCTCTTTTCTTGGCAACCTTTTCCGACTAAAAATTTTCCCAAAAAAAAAAAAAAATTTTAACGAATCCCTTTAAAAAAACAAAAAATTTTTATATTCACGCGTAAAAATTTGATTTTTTTTCTCTTTTCTCTCTCTCCCGACAACGTTT